TCACTTAGCATATACCATTGAGGAAACTAAACTCCTACAGAATTCTGTTCCAAAGGCACTGTAGAGTAGTTCCTTCATTGCTAATTTCACAGATATTTTGGGCCTGAGAGTGGGAAAGCTACTGATGGTTGTTGCTGCCGGGGTGGGGTGGGGTGCGGGGGGTGGTAGACATGAGTGGGTAAGTAATATTTGTAAAGATAAAAGACAGCATTTTCAAACCAACAGACTCAGGATTTGCTACTAAATAGAAATTGGGGGGCACCTGGGTGGCTCAGTTGGTTAAGCGTCCAACTCTTGATTTTGGCTCTGGTCATGATCTCATGGTCATGGGATTGAGCCCAGCATTGGGCTCTGTGCTGGGCATTGAGCCTGCTTAAGATTCTCTCTCTCCCTCTGCCCCTCCCCACTCCCTAGGTAAATAAGTAAATAGAAATTGGATCCAGAGTTGGTGTACAGACTAAGTGAGATGTAGATGCTGAATTTTTAGTTGCTAAAGTAAAATTCTTTGCATTTTTCCAAGTTGAGTTGAGATTCACGGATATAAATAATTATTCACCAGTGTGTTCTTGGACTTGAGAATGCTACCGAAAGTCCAGTAGAGCATTCCTGAGGCAATCAAAGCCCATAAAGATGGCGGGACTTGGATATAAACAGTGGTATTCGGGGCACCTGGGTGGCTCAGTCGTTAAGCGTCTGCTTTTGGCTCAGGTCATGATCCCAGGGTCCTGGGATCGAGCCCTGCGTCAGGCTCCCTGCTCCATGGGAAGCCTGCTTCTCCCTCTCCCACTCCCCCTGCTTGTGTTCCCTCTCTCGCTGTCTCTCTCTCTCTCTGTCAAATAAATAAAATCTTAAAAAAACAACAACAACAGTAGTATTCATAAGTATACCTTGAATCCCAATTTCCATGTTAATTTAACAATAACAATATTGGATGATCACTACTATTGGCCAGATCCAGGTCTGCACTGGTCTTCACCAGAAAAGTTGTTGGTTGTCAGTTATTTTCTCAGGTTTCTTTCCCCCTAACATATTCTTTGCCCTCCCTACATCTGTAGATTTCTTCATTATTTGTTTTCTGTATTGTTTTTAGTACTTAAAAAACAGGCATATTTTCTTTTTAAAAAGAAATTTCAGGGTGAGGGGATAAGTGAAACAGATGAAGGGAATTAAGAAGTACAAACTTCCAGTTATAAAATAAATAAGTCATGGGGATGTAAAGTACAGCATAGGGAACATATAGTCAGTAATACTATAATAACTTTGTATGGTGACAGATGGTAAGTACACTTATCATGGTGACTATTTTGTAATGTGTATAAATGTTGAGTCACTATGTTGTATCCCTGAAACTAATATAATATCATATGTCAAATATACTTCAATTAAAAAATAAAGTAACTTTAAAAAGAGAGAAAGAGACAAACCAAGAAAGAGACTCTTAACTATAGAGAACAAAATGATGGTTACCAGAGGGGAGGCATGGGTGAAATAGGTGATGGAGAATAAGGACAGCATTTGTCCTGATGAGCACTGGGTGGTATATGGAGGTGTTGAATCACTATATTGTACACCTGAAACTAATATAACACTGTATGTTAACTATACTGGAATTAAAATAAAATGAAATTTAAAAAAACAAATAAAATGAAATTTTAATTATGCTCTTAGTACAAATGCAATCATCTACAAGACTACCAAAACCTGATACAAGTTGTAGCCTATTTTAATAATGGGAGAGAAGATGTCTGAGATTCTTGGGAAAAATCATACACAATATATAAAAACATGTAAAACATATACATATATATGTATGTATGTATATGTATTTGTAGGAGAGAGAGAGAGTCCAATATATACTCAAGGCAGGCTAGAACCCATGACAATGCGTGGGCAAGATTTTTTTCAAGGGAACAGTTTGTACTAATAGACTATGATGATTCTCATGAAACAAAAAATGCCAAGATTCTTACGCAAGTGTCTCTTTCCAAACCATTAGTTGCATATTTGTTCTGGGGAAAGCAAATAGCATCTTCATTTCCCCTGCTCAAGTCACCTTTATTTTGAAATCCCGCTTGCTGGAGCTTTGTGAAATACATATCTTGATAGATTATGGAAAAACTTAGTTGTTTGTATCCTTAATAGAGTCAAAAGCAAATTGTTTGAGTGTTACCACAGGCCCACACTTTCCACCTTAAGATAAGTGCCAGAACATTCCCTGTGAAATGAATTTAAAATTTTTGGATTATTATAATAGTAATATAAACATAATCATGAAAAGAGAAAAATAATATCAAAATACAAATAGGCATTTATTTTCTAAATGTTAAGAAAAGGAATCTGTGATTGCCCAGTGTTTTTTTACCCAATTACAGAAAATAAATGAGAGCTTAAAAAAAGTGTTATGCCATTATTATATTTAATAAATCATCCATTCCAGTTTTCTGGAAATACAGGGGTTAGAGGAACAGGTTAAATGACACCACAAGGAAACAGACAAATTCAGAATGTATAACATCCTACAAGACAACAGGTCTGGATACTTTAAAGAATTCAATATCATAAAAGGGGACTGTTCTAGACTAAATAGATTCAACACTTAATACAATCATGAAACTTGGTTAAAAAACAAATTTTTAAGACATTATAACAAGTGGTTAAAAAGTGCATTTGTAAAAGGAACTCAGGAGTGCATATGAATTCTTACCAAAATTTAAGAAAATTGAGGAATAATAATGGAAAAATAATGAGATTTAATAGGGACTGGATTTTGGATAATATTATGGAATCATTGTTAATTTTGTTAAGTGTGCTAGTAGGATCATGATTATATAGGACAATGTCCTTATACTTAGGAGATGCCTGCTGAAATATTTAGAGGTGAAGTGTTCTTATGTCTTCAAGTCACTTTCAAATGGGTCAGCAAAAAAAGGGGGTATTTGTATGTAGAATTAAAAAATAGAACAAATATTGTAAAAAATAAGCTTTAATTTTGGGTGGAGGGTAGAATTATGTTTGTATAATTCTTTTAACTTTTCTATATATTTGAAATATTTCTCAATACAAATATTTAATTTTTTTTTCAGAGTAAGAGAGAGCATGAAAGTAGGGGAGAGGGGCAAAGGGAATGGGAGAGAGAGAGAAACTTAAGCAGGCTCCACATCCAGCATGGAGCCTGATATGTGTTTCAGTCTCACAACCCTGAGATCATGACCTGAACCTAAATCAAGAGTCAGACACTTAACCAACTGAGCCACCCAGGTGCCCCCAAATATTAATTAATAGACTTAATTTTTTAGAGCAGTTCTAGGTTTTATAGAAAATTGAGCAGATAGATTTCCCATATACCCACTTTCTCTCATAGTGTTCCCTAGTATTAACATCTTGCATTAATGTGGTACATTTATTATAATTAGTGAACCAATATTGATCCATTATTAACTAGAGTCTGTAGTTTATATTAGGGTTCATTCTTTGTGTTGTTTTATGGTTTTGACAAGCGCATTGTGTCATGTATCCACCATTACAGTATCATAAAGAAGAGTTTCAATACCCCCAGATCTCCTGTGTTTTACCTCTTAATTCACCTCCTCCTTCCCTCTGGCAACTACTAATCTTCTTAATGTATCTTAATCACTTTTGCCTTTTCCAGAATGTCATGTACTTGGAAGTAATAGAGTGTGTGCCTTTTCAGACTGGTCTCTTTCACTAAGCAATATGCATTTAAATTTCCTCCATGTCTTTTTTGGGTTGATAACTCACTTCTTTTTATCAAGTATGTAATTTATTTTTAAAAATATTTTATTTATTTATTTGACAGAGAGAGAGCATGCACAAGCAGGGGGAACAGCAGGGAGAGGGAGAAGCAGGCTCCCTGGCTGAGCAGGGAGCCCGTTCCTGGACTTGATCCTAGGACCCTGGGATCATGATCTGAGCCAAAGGCAGATGCTTAACCGACTGAGCCACCCAGGAGCCCCTTATCAAATATTTTAAATACAAAAAGATACTTTAAACACCTAACAACAAATTGCAACATGTATATCTTGTTCGGCACCCGATTTAACATTATCTCTAAAAAGACATTTAAAAGAGATAATTGGAGAAAATTCAATACTTACTGAGTATTTGATATTATAAAATTATTAGCGTTGCTAGATGTGATAACTTATTTGAGGTTTAAAAAATGCTCTTATCTGTTAGAAAAGAAAATAAAAACATTGATAACACTCATATGAAGAAATTTTCCAGCTACTTTTGGAGATTTTCATGTGGTCCAAATATGTCAAATTTCAGGGAAATGTGAAGTGAGAGTGGTGCAGGAGAGATATATGAGTAAGAACAATTATTTCATAATTCATGAGAATGTTATTTGAATACCGTGCTTTCCCTGAGTTTGTATAGTTTTTGGTTTCTCTTGAGTGTGAGGATGGTAACCTAACCACCCCCCAGACGCACACATGCCCATCCTCTAAATAAAAACTGGGAACTGCCTACTCAAAGCCTTCTTTCATCCTGGGACTGAAGTTACCTTCCAGTTTCTGAAGTTGATGTTTTCCAATTTAAAAAGAACCCCTTTGATCTGTGAGAAAACTGGAATGGAAATTTGTCAATGCTTGCCATGGTCATTATGGATGCAATGAAAAAGTCTTTGGAAATGCAGATAAGACGTTGAGACACTACATGAAAATGTTCCATTTAGATTGTCTCTGTCTGAAAGAAAGGAGTAGGGTGTTAATGTTTTAGATAAAATAAACACTCGGAAAGGACGCGGGGTGGCGCTGCAGCATTAAAAGTAGAACGAAGAAAGCTACCAGCCGGCGCTCCTTAAGCCAGATGCTCTGCTAAAGAAACAAGCAGGAAGGGGAGGGTTTCTAAGGTGTTTGCCCCAGGAAATCGGGGCCCTAGGCGTCTCCACTTATCCCAGTACCTTCGAGATACTAGGTGAAGAGTCCGTCACAACGCGAGCCGAAACTGGGTTACGTTTGCTGGTAGACCGGAAGGCGATGGAGGCTGGAGAGGGAAAAGAACGCTTTCTGAAACAAAGGCAAGTCTTGATATTCTTTGTTTTGCTGGGCATAGCTCAGGCCGCTTCCGAGCCTAGGCGCTACTCAGTGGCTGAGGAAATGGAGAGTGGCTCCTTTGTGGCCAATTTGTTAAAAGACCTGGGGCTGGAGGTAAATGAGCTAGCTGCACGGGGGGCTCGCGTCATTTCCAAAGGGAAAAAAACTCGTTTGCATTTTGATAGACAGACAGGGGACTTGTTGTTAAATGAGAAACTGGATCGGGAGGAGCTGTGCGGCCTTGCCGAGCCATGCGTGCTACCTTTCCAGGTGTTATTGGAAAATCCCCTGCAGTTTTTTCAGGCTGAGCTACGGATTAGAGATATAAATGATCATTCCCCGGTGTTCCTAGACAAAGAAATAATTTTGAAAATTTCAGAAAGTATCACTCCCGGAGCTACTTTCCTAATAGAACGTGCCCAGGACTTAGATGTAGGAAGCAACAGTCTCCAGAGTTACACAGTCAGCCCCAATTCCTATTTCCATCTTAAATTACAAGACAGTCCCGACGGCGTATTACCACAGTTGGTGCTGGACAAAGCACTGGATCGAGAGCAACAGGCTGAGATCAGGTTAACTCTCACAGCGCTGGATGGCGGGACTCCACCCAGGACTGGCACTGCTCTGGTTCACATTGAAGTCTTAGACATCAATGATAACGCCCCCGAGTTTGCAAAGCGGTTTTATGAGGTGCAAGTTCCGGAAAACAGCCCTATTGGATTTCTGGTTGCCATAGTCTCTGCTAGCGATTTGGACATTGGAACCTATGGAGAAGTATCTTATGTATTTTCCCAAGCCTCTGAAGAGATTCGCAAAACTTTTCAAATAAATGCAAAGTCAGGAGAACTCTTTTTAACAAAGAAACTGGATTTTGAATCCACTCAGACTTACACATTAAATATTCAGGCGACAGACGGTGGAGGCCTTTCTGGAAGTTGCGTGGTGTTTGTCCAAGTGATGGATTTGAATGACAACCCTCCGGAACTGACTATGTCAACATTTATCGATCACATCCCAGAAAACTTGCAGGAGACCATAATTGCTGTATTCAGGGTTTCAGATTCTGACTCGGGAGACAATGGAAGAACGGTTTGTTCCATTCAAGATGATCTTCCTTTCTTCCTTAAACCTTCCGTTGAGAATTTTTACACCCTCGTGACAAACACAGCTCTGGACCGAGAGAC